TCTTTCCTGCCTGAGCAGGGGGTCGGACTCGTTGATCTATTGAGGTCCCTTCTGACCCTAACATCTATGAATCTATATTAGGAGGGGCTACAGTGAATTTTTGGGTGGCTGCAGCGCCCCCCATAACCTCACTCCCAGCGACACCGCTACTGCTGCCTGGCTCAAGTGCAGCCCGGCCCAACATCCTTGCCGGGAAAAGTCTGACGCTGCCCCAGCCCCAACCCACAGCCCACTCCACCTGGTGTGCAGATCCTGGGGCACATGCCCTCCATGCCCTCCCAGGGTGCGTGACCCACACGCTTCCAGCGCCCCCCCCCGATGAGCCGCTCATGGCTCCGTCTCCCGCCCCAGCTGTGCGGGGCCTGCCCCTGCCCCAGCCCCACTCTGTCCCTCACCGCTGGTGCAGCTGCCCATGCTGCCCCATGTTTGGAGGGGGCATGTGCCCCACCCCCATCTGTGCACGGTGGAGGTGGCTGCCATTGTGGGCTGGGCTTTGCACCCCGAGCTCCGCTGCAGCTGGTCCAGGAGCAGCTGGACGCCATGTGCATCCTGCCGCTGGGCTGAGCTGCACTCACACACAGCCAGCTGAAGCAGGGCTCAAGGTACAGTGGGCAGTGGCAGCCACCTTTGACCCCACAGAGAAGGGGGGCATGTGCCCCCAGGGCCTAGACTGGGGTGCACCCAGCAGCAGGAGGCCCCCCCCGGCTCCAATCCTTCCGCCACCTGGCCGAGTTAGGGCCCCACTCACCTTTCCCTGCTCCTGTGTGCTGCATTCAGTCCATTCCTCACTGTGGGGGCCTTGATCTGGCCCCTGCATCTTCCCACCCCCACAGACTGACCTGCTGGGCTGTGGGGGGGACACATGTGCATACACGCCCACCCCCTCCAGCCTAGGATCGAACAAAAGAGGCTCCCCAATTGTCTGGTTGGGGACTACTGCCATAAGCATTACTATGTCATATTAAAAAGTTCAAATGTGTTCTGAGCAGGCACATGATGATGCTTGCTAAGATCTCAGCTCACTATGGACAGGGCTGGAGCCTGCTGCACCCACCCCCTGTCCTTCCCTTCCTCCATCCCTGACACTGACCCCAGCAGTGGACACCACAGATCACATGTCTGCCCATGATAGTATGCAACTCCCATACCCAAAGCCCATGACCTCCCTGCTACATAACCAGGACTGCCTAATCTGGGAGCACCTGCCACTGGCACACAGAGGCAAGCTAGGTTTCTTCTGCTAACAGCAGGCAGAGGGAGGCACAGAAAGGCCAAGTCGAGGAGAAGGTGCTGCTTTTGCTGCTGGATCTGCACCTACCCTGGATCCACAGGATGAACTGAGTCTCTGCCACTGGCAGTCTTGAACCAGCTCTAGTGTGATGCAGGGGCTGGAACTAAAAATCATCTGATATCAAGCTCCATATTATGTGTGATCTGTTGATTGTCAGCCCCAGCCCCAGCCCCACACCAGGGTCTTATATTCATGATATCTCCATGGAGCAGTCCACTGATTGCTGAACATGTGTTACTTACTATGACCTGGAGATTCTCCTCCCACGAAAAGTCTTAACCTTGCTACTATATGATTGTACTTTGCACGTGTTTTACTCTCCGAACACATGGATGCTTGCATTTTAAGAGCAGTTAATATGTCTTAAATCTAATGTGAGATGGCCATTACATAGGGACAATCCTGCCTAAAGCAGGAGGTTGGACCCAACCATCTCTTGAGGTCCCATCAAGCTTTACTTTTCTATGCTTTTGTTAATCTAACCTACTGTATACATAATTTCTTAGAAAATATAACAATATCTACAATTTCTAAAGCCAGTATATAACTTTTAAGTAACTGAACTAACTTCAATAGACCACTCATGTGATTCAAATTAGGTACATGCTTAAGTATTTTGCTGAATCAGGGCCCTTGTGATCACTGATCATCTTGCCAGAACATTCTTGAGAAGTCTCAATCGATATGTCCTGATTACATAAATATTTAAGTGTGTGCATATGTAATCACACACAGTATGGAGCTTAATATCTTTCATTACTTTTTAAAAAAATGATCAGTTTAAACAAGTAATGGCTTTTTCTGTTGTTTTAATAGTGCTGATTTTGCTTTCATGATTGAAGCCTTTGTAAATCCAAGTTAAGTGCTACATTTATCGTTACTATTCCATTAGCAGTTCTGCAACCTGATCTAATGTCTACAGTGAATATTCTCTTCTAAAATTAATAACATGTTTGAACAAATCCATTAACACTTTAATACTCTGTGAATCCTGACCAGACAGGCAAACAGCCAAATGGTCCCTTCCAAGCTATTTTTAATATTCTGGAGCTGAGCTCAGTGATACAGTCATAAATTATTAGAATGACAAAAATGTCAATGTAGTTATTTATTTTATTGTTCCGGAAACCATCCTTATTCAAGATGTACATATAATCCCAGACCTACATTTATGCTGATGTTTAAGACTTAGTAACATATTTTAAGACATTGTAATATTTACTGTTCTTGACTTAGGGTGTTATGTGAGACCACTCTGGAATGTTGTTTTTGTTTTTAGCACATGGTAGCATTACAAGAAATGAATGACTTTCACATTACTAACAAATAAATCAATAGGAAGCCATAATTTCTAAATTAGTCATTTTTAAAGATACTAATGTTATGCATGTGTATATCTGAAACAATTAGTTCTTACCTTGTGCTCATAAAATGTATCAATAAGAGTAATAAAGCGGCGAGCTTGAGTCCTTTGTGCCATTGTCAATAGTGGTATGTTGCGAACAAAGACCGTATCAAAATTGTCAGATACTTCCAAATAGTCACTGGCTCCAAGTGGCTGAAATATAAAAACATTATTGCTGGAAACCCTTCTGGATTAATACATTAATTCCAGGTTTTGAAACACTACAGTTAACCTACAGTGGGCAAAAACTAGCATATTTCTTATTTTCCTCCTTAATATACTTTATTTCTGTGATTCTTCAATTCTAGCTAAAGTCAACTATGATGTTCATTCCTAGAACTGGTATCTTAACCAAACAGTGCTTCACTGTTTAGAATTCAGCTCATCTGAAAATTTCCTATTAATTACCTGACAAACATATTTTTTAGCTCTGACAACCTCAAATCCAACAACAACAATAAACCAAACCAGAAGAATAAACAGAATAGGGAATCTAGCCACAAAGTCCATTCAAAACATGAATAATTTAAGATGCAATTAGGAATATCCATTACTGATGCTTTTGAGCTGAAAGATCTGCAGTCAAGATACAAATCCATATTTTATACACTATATCTTGATCAAAATTCTTATTTAATACAATCAAAAGTAATTGTGAATTCACAAAAATCCTTATGGTTCCAGATTCTGAATGTAATAATCATCTGTAAAAAAATCAATTATAGCAGTATTCCCAGAAATCCTGCTTTATTTAAGAAAGATTATTCATGATTTTACTTTCTTCAAACTTTGGCCTATCATTAATGATGAATGAAAAGCTTTAGTAAAAACTTTAGCTATTCACTTAAATAACTGAAATCCTTAATAAAAGACATGTAGAGATAAGTATCACATACAAGTACACATTCAGATGAATTTTTAAAAGTTATTTTCTCTGTTACTTACATGTCAAGATCTAAATGAACAGTGCTATGCTTTTCCTCCAGGAAAAATATGAGGGTAGGCAACATTTTATCATGAGCTATTCATAAATCATTGCTGTTAGAGGCGGGGGGAAAAAGGTTCAAGTACTGATTTACAAGCTAGGAGCCAAATCTTATTTCCTTTTCTGCAGGTAGCTCAGTACCTTGAATTGAGATAATTATGAGACTAGATGGGAAGGGTTTTGACCTATAAACAGAAATATCTTCACTCATTCATGAACTGCATCTAACCCCCAAAATGGAATATAGCAGTGCAGAACAACACTGTTAAAAACAGGATATGAAAAACAAAGTGAAGCTATTTTCAGGGAAAGGGAATTTTCAGTTAGGCCAAAGGCAATTACCTAGACAAGGGGTTGGCAACCTATAGCCCATGGAGCCTTTGGATCCAGTCTGCAGAGCCATGGCTTTGGGAGAGGGGGGTTCTCTCCCCATGTTGTACTGCAATCAGGCATCCAGGGCTCTAGTAGAAGAGAGCTTTGCCCATGATGTACCACAGCTGGATGGCACAGGCTCCAGCAGAAAGGGAGCTCTCCCCTGAACTTCAGGGAGAAGCACTGAAGATGGCCAGGTCCTAGTGCTTGCTTGCCTCCAATCTGAGTTAGGTCATTCCAGCCCTCCACCAAAAAACGTTACCGACCCCTCACCTAAACTGTAACGTAACATGGACTTCTCTTGCAAGACCTTGTATGAGGATTTTGGAGATTTTAAAATGATTTCTAACCCAATTTTCTTTTACCTTCCCTCATTCAAAATATCAAACAAAACAGACTCTTATGCAAAAGTTCTTTATTTTTGCAAGCCATCTATGTGAAGCTCTACATGTAATTCCAGAGAACTCTTCTGAAGAAAAAGCATAGCTTTCAATTTATTAAGCTAACTGGCAAGTGTGGGTACCACAGAAGCTAATCCAGTCCCTCTCATAGGATCATCTCCCCTTCCATTATCAACTGAATGAATCACTTGTTTCCCTATTTATAATAAAGCAACATTCCTGTGAAAAGGACAACAGCTATTCAAATGGAAAAGTATTATTATAAAAGTATATATGTATTTTCATCCGTGTTTGTTGGGTACATAATATGGTCTCTCTCAAAATCTAAGCATGCAGTATATTTAGTGTCACTTTCCCCTTCCATCAGTTATGTATCATTTGCCAACTAGAAATAGGGAGGAAAGTCAGTATAATGTGACCAAGCCACCAGTAATAGCTCCAAGTACCACTATTTGGACTCTCTGAAGAATACGGACATAAGAGCTTTCTGTATAAGAGTTCTAGGACCCTTTTTTCCCTTGTGAGTTCGCATAGAAAGGCATGAGAAACCAAAACTGCATTTGATGACTGACTTGTGGTATGGGCATCTCATGACACACCTTTCCATCACACCACATTCTTATTTCTCAACTACACTGGTAGCCTGGAGGGCATGACATAAGCACCTCTAGAGCAACTGTGCCATTAAAGGATATCTAGGCTAGTTAAAACAGCTTAGTGGCCAGATTACATGTGCAGTGAAATAAAAAGCAGATGCAATGAATTGGAGCCTCTGTTTAACAACACCATAGTAATATACAGAAGTTTCCATCTGCATGAAAGATTGGTAATCTACAACAGAAAAAATATGGTTCCTGCCCTCATAGTGCATTAGCAGATTTTCATATTCCCTATGAGTGTCACTTCACTGTTGCCAGCTGCACCTCTTCCAGAGGCTGCTCTCGTGGATCGAGGAGATACAAAGCTGGGTGTTGCTAGCATCATTGGCAATGGAGCCCATGCATCTCTCAGACAAAAGCATTTCCTTCTGTCAGGATTCAGGGGGGCAAAGACTAGGTTTGACAAAAAACCCCAAACCCTACTTATTTTCCTCTTTCAAAGCATAGCATCAACACATGCAAGTACGAACTACTAAACAAGGGAGGCAGTGCATCCTAACGGGAAGCAACCCAGATCATGAACCAGGAGACCTGGCTTCTGTTCTTGCCTCTCAATAGCCTGCTGAGTGACTGCAGGGAAGTTGCTTCATTTGCCGCTTTGGCTCAGGATCTCACATATAAAAATAGGGATAACAACAGGCAGGGGGGTGGGGCTGGGATCAGAGGGCTGGGGGAGTGAGCGGGGCCAGCAGGGGTTCCCCCATGGTCCTCTCCCCACTACTCCAGGCCCCCCACCCCCTATTTACTGGCAGGGGGCCCGGGTAGGCAGGCTGCATGTTTCAGCACCAGGGTGAGGGGACAACCACAGAGATGCTCTCGCAGCCAGAGCGTCTCCATGGAGGACCCAGCCTCTGGTTGACTCGGGACTGTGCCCTGTCCCACTTTTTTAAGCTTCAGTTTTTTTAGACCCCTGAATATCCAGGGGTCTAATTTTCTCCCCGCGCTGCAAACTTGCAGTGCGGGGAACATTTTTTTGTTTCTGCACGTACCTCTTGCCCTGTCTCAAAGGGATTTGAGATGGGGCAAGAGGCACATGTGGACTCATCTGGATGCGCCCAATAGAATTATAAAGATGTAATTTATTTTATTTCATAAACATTAATATAAGGTATCTTTCAAGCCAGAGTTAGTACTTTAAATTAGCATAATGTTCCATGTAAAATTGATTTTTTTAAATAAATTGAATACTGAATGGCATTTCAGTTAGCAGTATCTACAAGCATATTATCTCCACAAGATTATCTGGAACAAATCCTCATTATATAGATCACATTCCACATCTTCCTATCTGAGCAATTAAAACACTTCAACACTGATACTTGTGGTTGTTGAAAAACAAAAAGGAAAAACATATATCTTGGTATCACTTTTTTATAAAATTCTTACCAAAATATGAAGAACTTGATATCGTGCATTTATAGAAAATATCTGTCATTTGCAGGGAGTATACAGTTGTCTCTAATACTGTGCAGACCTTTAATGGATAAAGATCTTACTTTATTGTTGAATTGTATGAAATGGGAAGGCAAGGTAGAACTGTTATAGATTTCTGTCATTAACTCTAATGCCAGGAGTCAGTATTTTACACTAATGTAAAACACATTAGCACTAACACAGGCTACCTCATAACAAAGTGGCCAGTCCACTTCAGTTTGCACAATCGAGCTGTCAACTTTGTTCGTTTTTGTTTCACCATCTAGTTAATGCATTTTCTGCTATCATCATCTCAGTTCAAGTAGGATGTTTATTATCTACAGCTCTCTGTAGACTGTTTTAAGAGTTACTCTTCTTCTGTTTCCATTATATATTCCATGTAACAAGAGTATAAAGTGTTCTTCTTTGTTGACTCAGCAATGACAACAAAGCGTGTCTGTTAGGGTTGTTTTTAAGCAGACAAAAATGCTTTACATATGTTAGGATGCAATATCTTTTTCTAACTTAAGGCAAAATGTTACATTAAATTGATGTTGAGAAAGATTAGATTCAGTTTTAATGAAATACATAAGGCCAACAATTGATAACTACATATAAATCAATTATTGAAATTCATGTGTATATAAAAAAATAGATATTTGCAAAAGAGAAAAAAACAGATAATGTTTGTGAGTGTACACATTCAACAATAAATATAAAGGTCTTTCTATAGATTACAGGAAACTATGCCTGCCAGTAGTATGGCTGATGCAGAAATAATATCTTTAGGGTGATGATTCAAGAGGGAATTAACAGAACTTGAGGCATGATCTAAATTCAGTTACATTTCTAAATTTGAAGCTGAGGAACATGGAAAACTAAAGCACTAACATCATGGTGAGGAGTGCAATATAAAAATGTAAATAAAAGAATGAATGGCATGTGCCGTGGAGAGCTTTGCAAATTTAAAAGGTAAAGGATAATGATTACCAGTGATCTTGGTTTCCTCCAAGTTAAAAAATCCCCAATTTTCAGATTTAAAAAAGTAACCCAAAATCCACACTTTTCTGTGATCAACATGAAACACCACTTATATATATTCTAACAGTATAAAAGCCTTAGTCTGTCTGTTCATAATAGTTTATGTGCACTCTGACTGGCTAAGTGAAACAGCCAATCAGAGTGCTCCACAAGTGTTCGACAGGAGACAGCATGGCAGAGCACCACCATGACGGCGAAGCAGCAGTAAGAACCATTCAGAGCATGGCCTCGCCTCCCCTGCCTTGCTCCCTGCAAGTTGCATCGAGGACCAGGCGGAGTGTG